CGCTTTCATTCCCTCTCACCCACTCTCATACGCTCTCATTCCCTCTCACCCACTCTCATACGCTCTCATTCCCTCTCACCCACTCTCATACGCTCTCATTCCCTCTCACCCACTCTCATACGCTCTCATTCCCTCTCACCCACTCTCATACGCTCTCATTCCCTCTCATCCACTCTCTTACGCTCTCATTCCCTCTCACCCACACTCATACGCTCTCATTCCCTCTCACCCACTCTCATACGCTCTCATTCCCTCTCACCCACTCTCATACGCTCTCATTCCCTCTCACCCACTCTCATACGCTCTCATTCCCTCTCACCCACTCTCATACGCTCTCATTCCCTCTCACCCACTCCCATACGCTCTCATTCCCTCCCACCCACTCTCATACGCTCTCATTCCCTCTCACCCACTCTCATACGCTCTCACTTCCTCTCACCCACTCTCATGCCCTCTCATTCCCTCTCACCCACTCTCATACGCTCTCATTCCCTCTCACCCACTCTCATACGCTCTTATTCCCTCTTGCCCACTCTCATACGCTCTCATTCCCTCTCACCCACTCTCATACGCTCTCATTCCCTCTCACCCACTCTCGTACGCTCTCATTCCTGTTAGAGACTAAGGATCGAGTCTGTGAAGATTAGGAGCCTAAATTTCCCAAAATCGTTGGCTTGAAATTCTGGACAGAAACCGCGACTTCACAAGAAACGTTGTCGACGAAACGTGCACTGTTAGAATCGTCGCAAACTCGAGTATGTTATAGCCCTTGTTTGCGGCTATCATTCCCAATTTGAATCGTATCGAAAGGTGGAGTAAATCTCGAGTTATGCTTTACGGCGCACCAGGGGGTATGCTGCCACATAGAAATTAAATTCACTCACAATAGTTTCACAAGTTCACAAGAGTTGCACACAAGAGAGTTAGAGTAGCACTAAACCAGGTAGGAGGAAAAAGGAGGACGAGAGGGAAGGTCCCAAGGAGTCCCCAACCAAAGAAAACTCCATGCCACACAATTCCCTTCCCCATAGGCAACCCAACTTTGACCTTTGTCACTATCCCAACCTCCACAATCCACCTCAACCCAACTTGGCCACACTTGCAAACCTGGTTTGGTTTCTCCCAACCAATTGGCAGCAACTACAGTAGTAGTGACGAATTTCCCAACCCCCAAAAGTCTGTACCCCATATTGAGTCAACCCCACAACTCTCCATGGTCACCACAACCAAATTATCAAAAACATACGAACTCCAACGTTCGTAACTTTCTTGTTCATGCTCCGATTGAAGTGATTCTTGGTTCGTCGGAAAGCTCTTGAGCAGTGGAGTCACTTCAGATATCTGCTCAAGCCAAATAACATTCACACACACACTCAGAAAATCCAAATTGCATCAAACACAAATTCTTGCGCACGCTCATTTCACACATGCAACGCACGAACACATGATGGGAGGCAGACAGACGTGAATGCATATGATTGCATCACACAACAAACTCCCCCTCTGGCTTCCAACCATCATCCCACATGCCATAGCTCAAGCATGCACTCTCAATGCACACTCATCCCAGCAAGCTTCATTCACTTCCAACACTCATCCCAATGGACAATTATCTCCTTCCAACATCCCACTTCCAACATCTCCTCTTTGCTCAAATCTGCAGCACCCTCTGCAGCCTCTCTTTCAAAACACTATCCACCAAACCATCTCATTGCAGCTCCATAGCAATATGCTATCTCATCCTCATCCATCTGTTCAGCCACACTTCCAGCCGGTACCACACTTGGCGTGCCACGGCTCGCATAGGTCAACCTGTTAGGAGGGCGCACATCCCTCCTAGAACGGTAAGCCGGACGTGCGGCACCTTGTGGAGCACCTTGCTGCTGCGGCTGCTGCTCCTCCACCTCAGGTTCTCCCCCATCCTCAGTCACCCCAGAAATCTCCTCCTCTGAGACAGTGACCTGCACTTGCCTCGAAGGCCGCTGCACCTCATAAGCCTCAATGATCAGCGGTGTAGTGGGAAGCTTCTGCTGCTGCTGCTTCCACTCCTTGTAGTACAAGGACTCAAGGAACTTCACATCCCTCGACACAGTCAGCTGCTGGCTGGTCAAGTCCCAAATCAGCCAGCCCTTGTGATCCTTTGCAAGCCCCAAGTGCACACCCCATCTCCCAGAAGCTTCCAGTTTTCCCCTCTTCTCCTTAGGCACATGAAACACCACCATACAGCCATAAGTTCTCAGCATGTTGACTGCAGGCACACTCCCATACCACTTGGTGTAGGGGACCCATTGCTTGTCCCCCACAGTCGCCAGCACCCGGTTCTTCACAACAACGACCTGCCGCAGTGCTGTCACCCAAAACGGATCCGGCAGCCCTGCACGCCCAAGGAGAGTGCGAGCACCTTCATGCAGGGTCCGGTTGAACCGCTCAGCCACGCCATTCTGCTGAGGGTTGTAAGGCACTGTGAGCTGATGCTGGATCCCCTTCCGCTTCAGCTCCTTCTCAAAATCAGCGCCGATGAACTCTCCTCCGTTGTCAGTGCGGATCACCTTCACCTTGTGTCCGCTCTCCCTTTGTGCTCTCGGCATCCACTCCTTAAGAACAGCCGCTGCCACCTCCCCCTTAGTCTTGAGAGGGTACACCCACACCGCACGCGTGTGGTCGTCCACAATTGTCAAGAAGTAGCGGCTGCCCGAGAGAGAAAGGGCCCTCGTGGGGCCCACCACATCCATGTGCACTAGTGCAAGTGGTGCCTTTGCTGGTCCTTTGCTGCTGCTGAAGGGAAACTTCGTGAATTTGGTCTCAAGGCAGGTAGGGCAGCTCCCAATCTCCTTTGCTCCCCCCTTCACCTCCAGCCCCTTCAAGCACCCATCCTTTACCAACTTCTGCAGCATAGGAATGTTCACATGGCACAGCCTCTCATGCCACGTCTCCCAATCAGCCTCACCACTCCCAGATGAAGCCTTTGCCCATGCAGCTGTCGCATCCACACCAGCAAGCACCTCACCATGTGGCTGTTGTGGCTGCTGCAGCTTCTTGATTGCATCCAGGGCCCCATCAATTGGTGCAGTCTCCTCTCCTCCCGCAGTTGCTTTAGCCGCTGCCGCTGCCTTTGCCGTTGCTGGTGGTTTCCCCTTCCAAGGGATGATGGGCAGCTGCCATAGGTCCTTGATGCAGCTGCTCTTCTCCTCCAAATTCCACAGCAGCAACTTCCCAAGCTTTGCACGGCAGCTGGTTGGGCCGAACGTAACTTTGGCCTTGCTTTTCTGCAGCCGGCGCACAGAGAGGAGGTTAGCGGATAAACCTTCAACCAACAGCACATTTCCCAGCCCCACAAGCCCCCCATTAGCTCCTATAACCTTGGCATTCCCAACACCAATCACAGGGAGCAAGGCACCTGAAGCGGCAGCCACAAACTTAATCTTCCCAGGGGGCTTCACCTCATCAAGCAAATCTGCCCGTGGAGTCATGTGACTCGTGCAACCTGAATCGATCACCCAGTGAGTGAGGGGGTGCATCACAACCTTCCCAACTGAACCCACATCACCCCCACTCCCTTGCACGTCCTCAACCATGAGGAACATACCAGGGTCGGCTTTACCTTGTGCACCATCACCTTGTGCACGTGAACCTTGCACAGCACCACCTCGTGCACGTTCACCACTTGGCGGCTTCATGCCTGGAGGCGCCCATCCTTCAGGCCGGCTGAAACACTTGAACCATGGGTGTCCAGCCTTCTTGCAGTACCAGCACGCACCCTCCATTGGGTACTCCCCCTGCCACCAGAGCTCCCATGCCCCTCATTGTAGTCACCTCGGCCTCTCCCTCTGCCAAAGCCTCTCCCACGGCCTCGGCCTCTCCCTCCCCCTCTCCCTCTGCTGCCTCCTGCAGCTCCATACCCCTCAGCAGTTTTGTTGGCAGCACCACCTCCAGTGTGGCGCCTGCGGAAGTCCTCCTGCAGGATCTGCTGCCGTAGCCACTCAGGCGTCCATTTGTCCTGCTGAACGTTGAGGGTGGGGATGAGGTTGTCCCACGAGTTGTCGAGCACCGAGATGATCTTGGTGCACTGTTGCATCTGCGACACTTCGCTGCCAGCCGCTGCCATCCTCGCATAGGTGTCCTTGATCTTGTCAAGGACCGGCTTCACATCATCTCCCGGCCGCATGGAGAGGGCAGCCAACTCCTTCTCCAATACGATCACCATCGGTAGCGTGTTGGGTTGAACCACGTCGCGTAGCAGCTTCCACGCCTTCGGTCCCGAGTCATCGAGCTCCACCAAATCCTTGATATGCTGGAACATGTCGTTGTTGACCGACTGTAGAATCAAGTCGTACAGCACCGCGCTCTTCTCAATCCACCGATCGCGGGCGTCTCCTTCCCCCGGCATCTTCTCCTCTCCCATTGCAATTTTCAGCAGCTTGTAGCGCTTGAAGGCGCTCCGCATCCGCCCGCTCCATTCCTCGTAGTTGGAGCCATCCAAAGCTTCGATCTTGGATGGTGGCGGTTCACTCATCTTCTCAGCTGCATCTCCACTCCCTTGATTCATCTCCTCTGCTCCCAATCAGAGGTTTAAGCTCCCCCCTTTGCTGGTCACAATGTAGATCCACACAATCTTCACAAGTGACGGCGCCAACGAAATTTCGGCAGAGTTTCCCCTTAGCGGAAGTCACATCCAACCTCCAGAACTCCACTTAGGCACGCCCACAGGCCATGGTGGGTCTAGGAGGGTCTTCACACTTCAAAAAGACTCTCCACAAAGTCCTTAATCAGCTCTGATACCACTTGTTAGAGACTAAGGATCGAGTCTGTGAAGATTAGGAGCCTAAATTTCTCAAAATCGTTGGCTTGAAATTCTGGACAGAAACCGCGACTTCACAAGAAACGATGTCGACGAAACGTGCACAGTTAGAATCGTCTCAAACTCGAGTATGTTATAGCTCTTGTTTGCGGCTATCATTCCTAATTTGAATCGTATCAAAAGGTGGAGTGAATCTCGAGTTATGCTTTACGGCGCACCAGGGGGTATGCTGCCACATAGAAATTAAATTCACTCACAATAGTTTCACAAGTTCACAAGAGTTGCACACAAGAGAGTTAGAGTAGCACTAAACCAGGTAGGGGGAAAAAGGAGGACGAGAGGGAAGGTCCCAAGGAGTCCCCAACCAAAGAAAACTCCATGCCACACAATTCCCTTCCCCATAGGCAACCCAACTTTGACCTTTGTCACTATCCCAACCTCCACAATCCACCTCAACCCAACTTGGCCACACTTGCAAACCTGGTTTGGTTTCTCCCAACCAATTGGCAGCAACTACAGTAGTAGTGACGAATTTCCCAACCCCCAAAAGTCTGTACCCCATATTGAGTCAACCCCACAACTCTCCATGGTCACCACAACCAAATTATCAAAAACATACGAACTCCAACGTTCGTAACTTTCTTGTTCATGCTCCGATTGAAGTGATTCTTGGTTCGTCGGAAAGCTCTTGAGCAGTGGAGTCACTTCAGATATCTGCTCAAGCAAAATAACATTCACACACACTCAGAAAATCCAAACCGCATCAAACACAAATTCTTGCGCACGCTCATTTCACACATGCAACGCACGAACACATGATGGGAGGCAGACAGACGTGAATGCATATGATTGCATCACACAACAATTCCCTCTCACCCACTCTCATACGCTCTCATTCCCTATCACCCACTCTCATACGCTCTCATTCCATCTCACCCACTCTTCTACGCTCTCATTCCCTCTCACCCACTCTCATACGCTCTCATTCCCTCTCACCCACTCTCATACGCTCTCAATCCCTCTCACACACTCTCATACGCTCTCATTCCCTCTCACCCACACTCATACACACTCATTCCCTCTCACCCACTCTCATACCCTCTCATTCCCTTTCATCCACCCTCTTACGCTCTCATTCCCTCTCACCCACTCTCATACGCTCTCATTCCCTCCCACCCACACTCATACGCTCTCATTCCCTCTCACCCACTCTCATACCCTCTCATTCCCACTCACCCACTTTCTTACGCTCTCATTCCCTCTCACCCACTCTCATACCCTCTCATTCCCTCTCACCCACTCTCTTACGCTCTCATTCCCTCTCACCCACTCTCACACACTCTCATTCCCTCAAACCCACTCTTATACGCTCTCATTCCCTCTTACCCACTCTCATACGCTCTCACTTCCTCTCACCCACTCTCATACCCTCTCATTCCCTCTCACCCACTCTCATACGCTTTCACTTCCTCTCACCCACTCTCATGCCCTCTCATTCCCTCTCACCCACTCTCATACGCTCTCATTCCCTCTCACCCACTCTCATACGCTCTTATTCCCTCTTGCCCACTCTCATACGCTCTCATTCCCTCTCACCCACTCTCATACGCTCTCAATCCCTCTCACCCACTCTCATACGCTCTCATTCCCTCTCACCCACTCTCATACGCTCTCAATCCCTCTCACCCACTCTCATACGCTCTCATTCCCTCTCACCCACACTCATACACTCTCATTCCCTCTCACCCACTCTCATACCCTCTCATTCCCTCTCATCCACTCTCTTACGCTCTCATTCCCTCACACCCACTCTCAGACGCTCTCATTCACTCTCACCCACTCTCATACGCTCTCATTCCCTCTCGCCCACTCTCATACGCTCTCATTCCCTCTCGCCCACTCTCATACGCTCTCATTCCCTCTCACCCACTCTCATACGCTCTGATTCCCTCTCACCCACACTCATACGCTCTCATTCCCTCTCACCCACTCTCAAACGCTCTCATTGCCTCTAACCCACTCTAATACGCTTTCATTCCCTCTCACCCACTCTCATACGCTCTCATTCCCTCTCACCCACTCTCATACGCTCTCATTCCCTCTCACCCACTCTCATACGCTCTCATTCCCTCTCACCCACACTCAAACGCTCTCATTCCCTCTCACCCACTCTCATACGCTCTCATTCCCTCTCATCCACTCTCTTACGCTCTCATTCCCTCTCACCCACTCTCATACGCTCTCATTCCCTCTCACCCACTCTCAGACGCTCTCATTCCCTCTCACCCACTCTCATACGCTCTCATTCCCTCTCACCCACTCTCATACGCTCTCATTCCCTCTCACCTACTCTCATACGCTCTCATTCCCTCTCACCCACTCCCATACGCTCTCATTCCCTCTCACCCACTCTCATACGCTCTCATTCCCTCTCACGCACTCTCATACGCTCTCACTTCCTCTCACCCACTCTCATGCCCTCTCATTCCCTCTCACCCAATCTCATACGCTCTCATTCCCTCTCACCCACTCTCATACGCTCTTATTCCCTCTTGCCCACTCTCATACGCTCTCATTCCCTCTCACCCACTCTCATACGCTCTCATTCCCTCTCACCCACTCTCATACGCTCTCATTCCCTTTCACCCACTCTCATACGCTCTCATTCCCTCTCACCCAATCTCATACGCTCTCATTCCATCTCACCCACTCTTCTACGCTCTCATTCCCTCTCACCCACTCTCATACGCTCTCATTCCCTCTCACCCACTCTCATACGCTCTCAATCCCTCTCACACACTCTCATACGCTCTCATTCCCTCTCACCCACACTCATACACACTCATTCCCTCTCACCCACTCTCATACCCTCTCATTCCCTCTCATCCACTCTCTTACGCTCTCATTCCCTCTCACCCACTCTCATACGCCCTCATTCCCTCCCACCCACACTCATACGCTCTCATTCCCTCTCACCCACTCTCATACCCTCTCATTCCCACTCACCCACTTTCTTACGCTCTCATTCCCTCTCACCCACTCCCATACCCTCTCATTCCCTCTCACCCACTCTCTTACGCTCTCATTCCCTCTCACCCACTCTCTTACACTCTCATTCCCTCAAACCCACTCTCATACGCTCTCATTCCCTCTCACCCACTCTCATACGCTCTCATTCCCTCTCGCCCACTCTCATACGCTCTCAATTCCTCTCACCCACTCTCATACCCTTTCATTCCCTCTCACCCACGCTCATACGCTCTCATTCCCTCTCACCCACTCTCATACGCTCTTATTCCCTCTCACCCACTCTCATACGCTCTCATTCCCTCTCACCCACTCTCATACGCTCTCATTCCCTCTCACCCACTCTCATACGCTCTCATTCCCTCTCACCCACTCTCATACGCTCTCATTCCATCTCACCCACTCTTCTACGCTCTCATTCCCTCTCACCCACTCTCATACGCTCTCATTCCCTCTCACCCACTCTCATACGCTCTCATTCCCTCTCACACACTCTCATACGCTCTCATTCCCTCTCACCCACACTCATACACACTCATTCCCTCTCACCCACTCTCATACCCTCTCATTCCCTCTCATCCACTCTCTTACGCTCTCATTCCCTCTCACCCACTCTCATACGCTCTCATTCCCTCCCACCCACACTCATACGCTTTCATTCCCTCTCACCCACTCTCATACCCTCTCATTCCCACTCACCCACTTTCTTACGCTCTCATTCCCTCTCATTCCCTCTCATACCCTCTGATTCCCTCTCACCCACTCTCTTACGCTCTCATTCCCTCTCACCCACTCTCATACACTCTCATTCCCTCAAACCCACTCTCATACGCTCTCATTCCCTCTCACCCACTCTCATACGCTCTCATTCCCTCTCGCCCACTCTTATACGCTCTCATTCCCTCTTACCCACTCTCATACGCTCTCACTTCCTCTCACCCACTCACATAACCTCTCATTCCCTCTCACCCACTCTCATACGCTCTCATTCCCTCTCACCCACTCTCATACGCTCTTATTCCCTCTCACCCACTCTCATACGCTCTCATTCCCTCTCACCCACTCTCATACGCTCTCATTCCCTCTCACCCACTCTCATACGCTCTCATTCCCTCTCACCCACTCTCATACGCTCTCATTCCCTCTCACCCACTCTCATACGCTCTCATTCCCTCTCAACCACTCTCGTACGCTCTCAATCCCTCTCACCCACTCTCATACGCTCTCATTCCCTCTCACCCACTCTCATACGCTCTCAATCCCTCTCACCCACTCTCATACGCTCTCATTCCCTCTCACCCACACTCATACACTCTCATTCCCTCTCACCCACTCTCATACCCTCTCATTCCCTCTCATCCACTCTCTTACGCTCTCATTCCCTCACACCCACTCTCATACGCTCTCATTCCCTCCCACCCACACTCATACGCTCTCATTCCCTCTCACCCACTCTCATACGCTCTCATTCCCTCTCACCCACTCTCATACGCTCTCATTCCCTCTAACCCACTCTCATACGCTCTCGATCCCTCTCACCCACTCTCATACGCTCTCATTCCCTCTCACCCACACTCATACACTCTCATTCCCTTTCACCCACTCTCATACCCTCTCATTCCCTCTCATCCACTCTCTTACGCTCTCATTCCCTCTCACCCACTCTCATACACTCTCATTCCCTCCCACCCACACTCATACGCTCTCATTCCCTCTCACCCACTCTCATACGCTCTCATTCACTCTCACCCACTCTCATACGCTCTCATTCCCTCTCACCCACTCTCATACGCTCTCATTCCCTCTCACCCACTCTCCTACGCTCTCATTCCCTCTCACCCACTCTCATACGCTCTCATTCCCTCTCACCCACTCTCATACGCTCTCAATCCCTCTCACCCACTCTCATACGCTCTCATTCCCTCTCACCCACACTCATACACTCTCATTCCCTCTCACCCACTCTCATACCCTCTCATTCCCTCTCATCCGCTCTCTTACGCTCTCATTCCCTCTCACCCACTCTCATACGCTCTCATTCCCTCCCTCCCACGCTCATACGCTCTCATTCCCTCTCACCCACTCTCATACGCTGTCATTCCCTCTCACCCACTCTCTTACGCTCTCATTCCCTCTCACCCACTCTCATACACTCTCATTCCCTCTAACCCACTCTCATACGCTCTCATTCCCTCTCACCCACTCTCGTACGCTCTCATTCCCTCTCACCCACTCTCCTACGCTCTCATTCCCTATCACCCACTCTCACACGCTCTCATTCCCTCTCACCCACTCTCATACGCTCTCAATCCCTCTCACCCACTCTCATACGCTCTCATTCCCTCTCAACCACTCTCATACACTCTCATTCCCTCTCACCTACTCTCATACCCTCTCATTCCCTCTCATCCACTCTCTTACGCTCTCATTCCCTCTCACCCACTCTCATACGCTCTCATTCCCTCCCACCCACTCTCATACGCTCTCATTCCCTCTCACCCACTCTCATACGCTGTCATTCCCTCTCACCCACTCTCTTACGCTCTCATTCCTTCTCACCCACTCTCATACACTCTCATTCCCTCTAACCCACTCTCATACACTCTCATTCCCTCTCACCCACTCTCATACGCTCTCATTCCCTCTCGCCCACTCTCATACGCTCTCATTCCCTCTCACCCACTCTCATACGCTCTCATTCCCTCCCACCCACACTCATACGCTCTCATTCCCTCTCACCCACTCTCATACGCTCTCATTCCCTCTCACCCACTCTCATACGCTCTCATTCCCTCTTGCCCACTCTCATACGCTCTCATTCCCTCTCACCCACTCTCATACGCTCTCATTCCCTCTCACCCACTCTCATACGCTCTAATTCCCTCTCACCCACTCTCAAACGCTCTCATTCCCTCTCACCCACACTCATACGCTCTCATTCCCTCTCACCCACTCTCATACGCTCTAATTCCCTCTCACCCACTCTCATACGCTCTCATTCCCTCTCGCCCACTCTCATACGCTCTCATTCCCTCTCACCCACTCTCATACGCTCTCATTCCCTCCCACCCACACTCATACGCTCTCATTCCCTCTCACCCACTCTCATACGCTCTCATTCCCTCTCACCCACTCTCATACGCTCTCATTCCCTCTTGCCCACTCTCATACGCTCTCATTCCCTCTCACCCACTCTCATACGCTCTCATTCCCTCTCACCCACTCTCATACGCTCTAATTCCCTCTCACCCACTCTCAAACGCTCTCATTCCCTCTCACCCACACTCATACACTCTCATTCCCTCTCACCCACTCTCATACCCTCTCATTCCCTCTCACCCACTCTCTTACGCTCTCATTCCCTCTCACCCACTCTCATACGCTCTCATTCCCTCTCACCCACTCTCATACGCTCTCATTCCCTCTCACCCACACTCATACGCTCTCATTCCCTCTCACCCACTCTCATACGCTCTCATTCCCTCCCACCCACACTCATACGCTCTCATTCCCTCTCACCCACTCTCTTACGCTCTCATTCCCTCTCACCCACTCTCATACACTCTCATTCCCTCTAACCCACTCTCATACGCTCTCATTCCCTCTCACCCACTCTCATGTTATAGACTAAGGATCGAGTCTGTGAAGATTAGGAGCCTAAATTTCTCAAAATCGTTGGCTTGAAATTCTGGACAGAAACCGCGACTTCACAAGAAACGTTGTCGACGAAAAGTGCACCGTTAGAATCGTCGGAAACTCGAGTATGTTATAGCCATTGTCCGTGGCTATCATTCCCATTTTGAATCGTATCAAAAGGTGGAGTAAATCTCTAGTTATGCTTCTCGGCGCACCAGGGGGTATGCTGCCACATAGAAACTTAATTCACTTACAATAGTTTCAAAAGTTCTCAAGAGTTACACACAAGAGAGTTAGAGTAGCACTAAACCAGGTAGGATGGGATGAGGAGGACGAGAGGGAAGGTCCCAAGAGAGTTCCCAACCAAGGAAACCCCATGCCACATAATTCCCTTCTCCATATGCAACCCCACTTTCACTTTTGTCACTTTCCCAACCTCCACAATTCACCTCAACCCAACTTGGCCACACTTGCCAACCTGGTTTGGTTTTTCCCAACCAATTGGCAGCAACTATAGTAGTAGTGACGAATTTCCCAACCCCCAAAAGTCTGTACCCCATATTGAGTCAACCCCACAACTCTCCATGGTCACCACAACCAAATATCAAAAGCATACGAACTCCAACGTTTGTAACTTTCTTGTTCGTGCTCCGATTGAAGTGATTCTTGGTTCGTCGGAAAGCTCTTGAGCACTGGAGTCACTTCAGATATCTGCTCAAGCCAAATAACATTCACACACACTCAGAAAATCCAAACCACAGAAAACACAACTTTTTGCGCACGCTCATTTCATACATGCAACGCACGAACACATGATGGGAGGCAGACAGACGTGAATGCAAATGATAGCATCACATAACATCTCATACGCTCTCATTCCCTCTCGGCTACTCACATACGCTCTCATTCCCTCTCGCCCACTCTCATACGCTCTCATTCCCTCTCACCCACTCTCATACGCTCTCATTCCCTCTCACCCACACTCATACGCTCTCATTCCCTCTCACCCACTCTCAAACGCTCTCATTGCCTCTAACCCACTCTCATACACTTTCATTCCCTCTCACCCACTCTCATACGCTCTCATTCCCTCTCACCCACTCTCATACGCTCTCATTCCCTCTCACCCACTCTCATACGCTCTCATTCCCTCTCACCCACACTCAAACGCTCTCATTCCCTCTCACCCACTCTCATACGCTCTCATTCCCTCTCATCCACTCTCTTACGCTCTCATTTCCTCTCACCCACACTCATACGCTCTCATTCCCTCTCACCCACTCTCATACGCTCTCATTCCCTCTCACCCACTCTCATACGCTCTCATTCCCTCTCACCCACTCTCATACGCTCTCATTCCCTCTCACCCACTCTCATACGCGCTCATTCCCTCTCACCCACTCCCATACGCTCTCATTCCCTCTCACCCACTCTCATACGCTCTCATTCCTCTCACCCACTCTCATACGCTCTCACTTCCTCTCACCCACTCTCATGCCCTCTCATTCCCTCTCACCCACTCTCATACGCTCTCATTCCCTCTCACCCACTCTCATACGCTTATTCCTCTTGCCACCACTCTCATACGCTCTCATTTCCTCTCACCCACTCTCATACGCTCTCATTCCCTCTCACCCACTCTCATACGCTTCATTCCCTCTCACCCACTCTCATACGCTCTCATTCCCTCTCACCCACTCTCATACGCTCTCATTCCATCTCACCCACTCTTCTACGCTCTCATTCCTCTCACCACTCTCATACGCTCTCATTCCCTCTCACCCACTCTCATACGCTCTCAATCCCTCTCACACACTCTCATACGCTCTCATTCCCTCTCACCTACACTCATACACATCATTCCCTCTCACCCACTCTCATACCCTCTCATTCCCTCTCATCCACTCTCTTACGCTCTCATCCCTCTCACCCACTCTCATACGCTCTCATTCCCTCCCACCCACACTCATACGCTCTCATTCCGTCTCACCCACTCTCATACCCTCTTATTCCCACTCACCCACTTTCTTACGCTCTCATTCCCTCTCACCCACTCTCATACCCTCTCATTCCCTCTCACCCACTCTCTTACGCTCTCATTCCCTCTCACCCACTCTCATACACTCTCATTCCCTCAAACCACTCTCATACGCTCTCATTCCCTCTCACCCACTCTCATACGCTCTCATTCCCTCTCAGCCCACTCTTATACGCTCTCATTCCCTCTCACCCACTCTCATACGCTCTCATTCCCTCTCACCCACTCTCATACGCTCTCATTCCCTCTCACCAACTCTCATACGCTCTCATTCCCT